TTTTTTCTAGTGCTTCTCCCTTCCAACACTCATACCACAGGAGACCGATGTTGAACATTTAATAGTCATACCTTCATATTTTTCTCTGTGCTCACAGAATCATACACAAATATATATATAAACATATGTGCATGTACATATATATAATTCTCTGCATTTCATCGTTTAGTATCTCATAAATATCTATCCATCTATGAAAGTCACCAAGATAGCTTCAGTTCTTTATCATGGTAGCTTAATTCTCCATATCATTAAAATAACACATTATGTTCAATTATTATATTAATCATGGCATTCCTTTTATAAGATATTGTGTTCCAGCATAATTTTGTTTAAGACAACCACCATTATATACTGATTTAAGAGATATAAGGGTAAATCAGTCTTTGGATAGCCCTAAATATAGTTCCTGAAACTATTTGTCAAGATCTGAGTTTTTGAAGATAAAATTCCCATTACTTATCGCCATTTAAAAAGTTTGGCTAGACATGGAAAAAAAACCTAAGGGTCCATCAACAGATAAATTGATAAAGAAGTTGTGATACACACACACACACACACGAATATTCAGCCATAAAAAAGAAGGAAATCCCACCATTTGTCACAACATGGATGGGTCTTGAGGGCATTATGCTAAGTGACATAAGTCAGACAGAGAAAGATAAATACTATACGATCTCACTTATATGTGGAATCCAAAAAAACAAAACAAAACAAAAATAACAAAAAACCCTCATAGAAAAAAATGATCAGGTTTGTGGTTACCAGAGGCAAGGGGTGGGAGATGGTGATTTGGATGAATGTACAAACTTCCAGTTATAAGATAAATAAGTACAAAAGATATAATATACAACATGATGACTACAATTAACACTGATGTATGGTATAGCTGGAAGTTGGCAAGAGAGTAGAACCTAAGAGTTCTCATCACAAGGGAAAAAGAAACTTTTTTTTTTGCTCTTTCTTTGTTTGTATCTACATGAGATGATGGATGTTAACTAAACCTATATTTGGTAATAACTTCACAGTATGAGTCAAATTATTATCATCTTAATCTTAAACTTACACAGTTCTGTAAGTCATTTATATTTCAATAAACCTGGAAAAAATTAAAGTAAAAAAAAAAGGCTTGGCTCAAGATTGTCTTCTATAGCTTCTGAGGCAAGAAGAGCCAACTCACTCTGCATTTTTCTAATTAAAGATTACCTATATTTATGACTGCTTGATATTGCTACTTAAGGGATTTTCAATATCAATATCAAACAGTTCCAAAATTGTTTGGACAAAGAAATCTTTTTTTGTTGTTGTTAAGTCAGACTATGTTCTTTGGAGTATAATCTTCGTAAAGTTGGAATGTGTTTTATCTCTGTGGCAATCTCCTAATTGGCATACAGTACAAAAATTGGTGGTTTGTGTATGATTAAAGAATCTGTTAGCAGCTCTATTGAAGTACAATTGACAGGCAATTAATTGCAGATGTTTAAAGTATATATTTATGTCAAAATTTTGACGTATGTATGCACTTGTAAAACATCACCATAATCAAAATAGTGAATGCATTCTTCACATACCCAAATTTTCTCATAAATCTCAAGAAACGCCTCTATCCTTTCTTTTTGACCCACAGCTTCTCCTCTCACCCAGGCAACCACTGATTTACTTTGGATCACTATAGATTAATACACATAATTATGGATTTTAAAAATAAATATTAAAGTATGTACTTTTTTGTCTAGCTTCTTTAACTTATCATAATGAATTTGAGGTTCATTTATGTTGTTGCATTCATCAGCAGTTCGTTCCTTTTTATAGCTGAGTAGTATTTCATTGTATGGATATATCACAATGTACTTACCACTTTTATTTTTTCATTGATATTTGGATTGTTTCCAGCTTGGTGATATTGCAGATAAAACAGCTATAAATGTTTGCATATGTGTCTTGATATGAGCATAAGTTTTAAGTCTTATATGAATACCTAGAAATGGAATGGCGAGGCAATATGGTCAGGCATTCCACTGGCAATTTATGAGAATTTAAAAGTTGTACCATATCCTCACCAGTATTTAGTATGGTCAATGTTTTTATTTTAGCCATTCTAATAGTAGTGTGTAACAACACTATGGTTTTGATTTGCATTTCTCTAATGATTAATCATGCTGAGCCTTTTTATGCCTTCATATGAAAAATAAAATACCATCTTTGGTGAAGTGTCTAAAGAATTTTGGCCCATTTTTTATTAGGTTGTTTGCTTTCTTAATATTGAACTTTAAGAGTACTATATGTATTTTATTTTATTTTATTTTATTTTATTTTTTTAAAGATTTTATTTATTTGACAGAGAGAGACACAGCGAGAGAGGGAACACAAGCAGGGGGAGTGGGAGAGGGAGAAGCAGGCTTCCTGCCAAGCAGGGAGCCTGATGCGGGGCTCGATCCCAGGATCCTGGGATCATGACCTGAGCCGAAGGCAGACGCTTAACGACTGAGCCACCCAGGCGCCCCAAGAGTACTATATGTATTTTAGATATAAATCTTTTATCAGATATGTAATTTGCAAATATTTCCTCTCTGTCATGGTTTGTCTTTTCCTATCTTAGCAGTCTTGGCTAATTTTGATCTGATTAAGCTAATGGATTTTTTCTTTTATGGCTTTTGCTTTGGGTATATGTATATCTAAGAAGTTTTTGCATTACCACAGTAAAAAAAAAAAAATTCTTCTAAGTTTTCTTGTAGAAGTTTTATAGTTTTATGAAACACATTTAAGCTTAAGGTCAATTTTGAATTAATTTTTTTATATGGAGCAAGGCATGGAGAGTTCATTTTGTGCACGTAGAAAACCAATTGTTCTAGCAAATGTGTTGAAATAACTTCGTTTCTCCACTGAATTGCCTTTGCATCTTTGCTAAAAATCAATTGAATATATACAAGTGGGACGTTATCCAGGCTCTCTATTCCATTGATTCTTTCTCTATCTTGACATGAATATGATACAGGCATGATTATTGCAGCTTTATAATAAGTCTTAATGCTAGCTGATAAAAGTCTTTCAACTTTGTTCTTTTTTCAAAGTTGTTTTTACCATTCTAGGTACTGAATTTATATATGAATTTTAGAATCATCTTGTCAATTTCTAACAATGCAAAACCTGCTGAGATTTTGATAGGGATCACATTGGATTTATAGATTAATTTAGGAGAATTGTCATCTTAGCAATATTGAACCTTCCAATCCCTAAAAACAGTATAACTTTTCACTTATTCAGGGCTTCTTTAATGCCTCTCAGTGATGATTCAAGCATACAAGTTTTGCATATCTTTAGTCAAATTTATCCCTAGTATTTAATATTTTTGATGGTCCTGCCTTTTAATTTCAATTTCTGTATTTTATTGTTTGTTCATAGAAATACAGTTGATATTTTAATAATGAACTGGCATCCTGCAAATGTGCTGAACTACCTTATTAGTTCTGGGTTTTTGTTTTGTTTTGGTTTTGGGTTTTTGGGGGTTTTGTTTGTTGTTTTTGTTTATTTATTTATATATTCAACAGCTTTTTTTTTTACTTAGACAATTCCAAATCTTAGATGCTTTGGCTTCTCCAGACTCCCATCGACACCTAATCAGCTCAGGAAGATCACTAACTAGCCTTTGCCTTTGTTTTCCCTCCCTGTGTTGTTTCTGGAATATTTCTCCACTTAGTAAGTTGGGGCAACAGTAAGTTTTCTTGTTTGTTTTATTTCTCCCAGAAAACACTGCCCTTTTTGCCTAATAACCAAAGTCATCTTGAGAATTGTTGTTTTATATATTTTGTCAGTTTGTTAGTTCTTAGTTGTTTGAAGAAGAATGATAAATCTATACCTGTTATTCCAATTTAGCCAGAAGCAGAGGTAGGCATAATACGTTTTAATCTATATAAATGTTCACCTTTTGTCCTCAATTTTCAAAAAAAAAAATTCACAACCATAACACCCACTCTTTTAAAGTCTATAATTGAATGAATTTTAGTATATTCACATAATTGTGCAACTATCACCACTAATTCCCAAACATTTTCATCATATGAAAAAGAAACTCTGGCAACCATTAATCCACTGTCTCTATGGATTTTTTACACTGGCCATTTCATATACCTGGAATCATACAATATGTGGCTTTCCTGTCTGATTTCTGTCAGTAAGCATAAAATTTCAAGTTGCATCAATGCTATGGGATGAATTAGTAATATATTGTTATGGTTAATAAATATTGCATTATGGATATACCACATTTACTTAGCCTTTAATCAACAGATGGATATTTGGGTTGTTTGTACTTTTTGATTATTATAAGTAATGCTGCTATTAACATTCTTATACATAGTTTTTATAGACATATGTTTTCAATTATTTTGAATAGATACCTAGAAATATAATTGCCAGATCATATGTTTAATTTTGGAGGATCTGCATAACTATTTCCAGAGTGACCTTTTGTTCCCTCTGCATGATAGCCTGGAAACTTTTTCTACTCAATAAACTGGCTAAATTTTGTAGCAACCATTAACACAAGGTTTATATGACTCTATATAGATGGCACACCTGAATGAGTGGAAATGGATGAAAAAAAATAGCAGCACTAAATAAATTTCAGACTTTTGTAAAAAAAGGATAATCTTTTTCATTATATAGCTGACAAACTCGGGTCACACTGCTTTACCTCAGTACTCATGTGGAAAAAACAATGTGAGTACCTAGGCTGGTGAATTTTGTCTGTAATAATATTCTTCTCTAGAGACAAAGAAACTAATAAAATGTCTTCTTCGTAATGTCTTCTTTGTAAAGTATGTGAAAGCTTGTCTGTGGCACAATTAAAAGTGGATCTAGAGTTAAGGGAGTACATTTTAAATATTCTCACAATAAATAGATAAGCAAATAAATAAATGGTAACTATGTGAGGTGATAGATATGTCAATTAGCTTTACTATGGAAATCATTTCAGATATATACATATATCAAGATATCACATGCTTGCTTTGGCAGCACATATAAAAAAAAATTGCAAAAATACAGAGATCAATGTGGCCCCTACTCAAGGATGACAAATTTGTGAAGGGTTCCATATTTTAAAAAATGAATAAAATATCATGTTGTACATCTTACATTTATACAACTTATTTTTATCTGTCAATTATACCTCAGTAAAACCAGGGAGGGGGCGGTGGGGAGGTGAACTTAGAATTTCTTGTTGCAAGAAATCCAGACTTTAATAATGTCTAGGTTAGCTTTTAAAAAGGAAAAGGAAATTGTACTGGCTTAATTATGATCAAAAAAATTAGTGATTACAGTTTGTTGAAAGAAGTTGAGTAAAGTAAAGGAATCATGCATCTTTGTTTCTGACAATAGGGAAAGGTAAGAAAAAGAGTGCTGAAGAGTAGTTGTAAAAATAGATGATTTTCCAAATCAGTCCACCATAGTACTATATATTGATCAGTCCAAGTGTTGTAAGTCTTACCTTGGGGTTAATCTAATTGTAAACTATATATTAGGTTTTTGTCATACTCCAGTTGAATATCTGGAAGGACACATGCAAATGTTTGTAGAATGTTAAATGATTGGAAATGTTCAGGAAAAAAAATATTTCTATTGTCTTAGAAGAGGGAAAGAAATCCATGTTATATTGTTGAAATAGAATGTGTGAAGTTAGTGAATTCAGAGGAACAAATCTCTGGTTTCCAAAGAAATGGAAAACATAAGGATGAGCAATTTTCAGAATTATAAAGGATGAGTAATCTAAGAATCTAGTAAGAGTTTATTCAAGCAGAGTTAAAACCTCAGTAAAGGCTGAAACTGTACTTGTCCATTCCCTGTTGCCTCGGCAGTAAGACTCCCTCCCACCCCCTTCCATTTTATGGTAAAACATTATAATAAAACAACCCATGTGCAATGTAAAAAATGTATTAATTACAGGGGCACCTGTTTAGTTTGGATAGCTCCACATTTAGGGGGAACTGGGGGAAAAATTGGGAGGGGTTTGTGATATAGAAAATAAATAATGCCTTGAGTAAAATAAATTTTTATGTAAAAGAATTTAACAACACCCTACGACATTAAAGGGAATTTTTGTGTGTGCTGTATATCTAGTTACTCCAGTCCAAATCTATGTAAGTGTAAATCATGTGATTGTGTGTCCACATTATAATCATTTGTTGTTGGTATTTCATCATCTTCAGAAGGCATCTTTGAATTTGGAAAAGATGGACACTCATGCCAACCACACATATTATTTTGTATTGGAAATCTCTATATATCAAATCCTATTATGGCATAAATTCCTTGAGTACAGACACCATATTTTGTACAACTGCTTAATGTTGCATGAGGCTCTACACATAGTAAGTGTAAAATAAAAATTTTTGAAGCATGAAGAAATAAATAGATTCAATTTTAGGACATCAAATTCTACATGCAAAAACTGAACTTAGTAACTCAAGAAATATTAAATACATGTATTATTGCATTTTACAAAAAATTCTTTAAAATTATGCTGTACAACTTGAATAAAAAATACATTTTCTTCCAAGTTATCACATCAATTTAAGCATATAGGTTGCTAATGTTATATTCAAACCAGCTAAAACATCTGTGTTCCATTTTTTCCCCAAAACACAATATGTAGAATTTTACATTGAAGGTGGCGGGGGGAAGACAATTGACAGATAAGGGAAGGGAATGACTGACTTTCTTTACTAAGTGTCCGGATGGGCAGAGAAAATTTTGGCACTCCTGGACAGGTGATGACATCTAAAATGATGTGTCAAAGTGTTAAAACAAATAAGAAATGAATATGTGATTCAAATTTCTTATAAATACATGCAATAAAAATGTCTCATTTTAAAGCATTTCATTGCTTCTATGATTAACTAACTGTTCTTTCCATTTTTTTTCTTTTTTCCTTTCTTTTTTGTATCATTACTTTCAGCTCTACATATGAAATCCTAGCCCTAGAAATGCCTTAGAGATATTTCATAGATGGATAGGAAATTGCTAACAATGCAAGCCAACTTGAAAGGAAATAACAGAAATAGGTCACGACCATGATTATCATAGCATATGTTGCCCAGGGCTTTATCCTGCCATCTCAAGAACCTTCTGCTAATAGGGCAGAGCTGTCAGGCAAGGCCATCATATCAATCTTATTTTACTTTAATGCTGATGTCCCAGGACTTCTTCTTTACAAAAGATATATTAGGGGTGACTCAGCTATGTTTATGAGATTAGCAAGAGTGAATGTAAATGTTTGGACTGGGAATTTAGCCCTACAAATAATCTGAGAAAGAGAAAAGAATTAAAGTCTCAAATGATGGCAATTTTCCATAATAACTTTACCTTCCATGGTAAAGATGTAGTCTAAAGAATGAAGAAGAAAAAATTAAAAAATAAAAAATAAAGAACCAAGAAGAAAACATCTCCTACATTATTTGATAGATTCATTTTGAATACAGATTCTACAGAACTGAAGTACAGTATGTAACTTCATTTGAATATTACTGATTACTGATACTCATACTGACCAGAATCAAGAATATTATGTTAATCATGATAATGCCTTTCTCACTCACTGATGAGTGAGAAAGGCATTGGTTTTGGTCTTATCTATTTGGTTTTGGTCTTTAGATCCGGTAATTACTTTCTTACTGCTCATTACTTGGATTGCAAATAAAACTTAAGCACACAGATATTGTTCTGATTTCATAAGTGGAGAAATATAGGTATTAATTAGTAGCATCTTCCACTGACTGGTATTAATATTTCTTCATGATCAATCAAATTTTAAAAAAAAAAATTTTTTTTAAAGATTTTATTTATTTATTT